GGATGATGTAGGCTGGGTAGGCTCTGGATGGTGAGGAAGAGGATAAGAAGGGGACCAGGGTTTATAGACATGTGTCTATGACAACTCTACTTCTTATAAAACCGCATGTTTCTTTCTTAGGTTTTATGTACCATACATTTCCCATTTGCCTAACATGTGTCCTTTTTTCCCCTTTTAACTTGAGTGTTTGATTTCTTCAATGCCCCTGTAATTCACAGGGTCTGGGAGTACACTTGAATTTCCCCAGCAAGCCCAGAGGACAGGGGATGCACTGATGTGAAGGTCGATAGCTTAGTATTTCTGGTTGGAAGGCGCTTGCAGTGGATTCTGTCCAGCTGCTTTTCTCTAAGAGGATCACCACCACCTCTACCACCTCTGGCCCCAAGCATGTCAGCCAAATGCTCTTTCAATGTTTGAAGAAATCTACTGGAAAGGAAAGGATCCCCCTACATTGTATACACTTATCTGTTTCTTTTCATTTGCCACCTTCCTTATACATGGATATTGTGTCTTTTCTCTTCAGCCGAAATTATTCTGACTGCAATTTAGAGGAGTTTCCTTTTGTTGACTTACCTGTTAAAATGGTGAGTGAACCTTAAGTCAGAATACTCATGAGTTCTAAGTCTATTTTAAAATAGTTACTAGGAGTTTTCCATTCCAGCTATCTTAACTAGTTAAGCATAATTAGTTATGCTTCCCTTCAAAGGATCCCTTTTCTATCCCTTTGTCATGTGTATATCTGTTTTCTAGACATTTCCCCATTCCTCCACATCCTTTTGGTGGCTTAGTGGCAAAGAATCTGCTGATGTAGAAACCATAGGAGATGCAGGTTTGATCCCTAGGTCCAGAAGATCCCCTGGAGGAGGAAATGCCAACCCAATTCAGTTTTCTTGCCTGAGAAATCCCATGGACAGAGGAGCCTGGCAGTCTACAGCCCATGGGATTGCAAAGCAATTGGATACAATTTAGCAACTGAATCTGACAAACACATACTTTTAAACTGTGAGCTCCACTTTTAAAGAACATAATGGGAAACTCCAATAATTGAGCTTGAAAAATGGAAAATTTTGGTCTAATTTAATAACTCATCAAAATAAGCAGAAAATTATTATGAGATTTTCACTATGGCTTTAACAGTCTGCCTAATCTTGCCATGGTCTGGATTTATGTTGTTTACAAAGATTATTCTTTACACAAACAAATTCTATTTTCTTTTTGGTTGCTTTTCACTCTCCCAGAATCTCATCAGTGTGTGCCTCACTATATTTAATTCCTCTGACAGAAACAAGGTGCTCAGAAATCCTCTTTTAAATTGAGTATGAAGAAGATATACGTCCAGATAAAACATTGAATCTGAAAATTAAGCTGTGAAATAGAATTTGGTCATCAAATCTCCATCAACGTGAACTTCTTTACTGATCACTCAGTACTTTATTATGGGCTTTAGTCTCATATGTGATGATTTTTTAATGGTGGAAATCATCTTGGTGACAATTCTTTTTACTTGAGAGGTCTTAAATATTTCTTTTAGGGCACTGTCTGGCCACATGAAGGCCAAAGAGTTTCTTTCTCGGTCCTGACTACATATTAGAATTATCTGAGTTTTAAAGGAATATGGGTATCTGACCCTTCCTTCCCATTTCTATTCCCCATCCCCGAGATCCTGAATACATTGGTATGAGATAGAGTTTGGGCATCAGCATTTTTAGGTAAGATTCCTAGGTGATTCTAGTATCTAGCCAAATATAGAACTATTGGATGGGGTTAATAAATGTTTTTGAGACATATAATTTTACTAAGGATATAGACAAATTATATCTCCAGATATGTACACTTAGGCAGGTAAGAGAAGTATGGATGCTTCTATAAGACATGCCATTGAACTCATTTCTGTAGGGTCTGAAGTAGAAATAATCTGACACTTTGTTTAATGCAATACTTCTTCAAGTGTGGTCCCAGGACTAGTAGCACTAGCATCACCTGGGGATTTATTAAGAATGCAAATTATCAGACCCTGACCCAGATCTACTGAGTCAGAATTTCCAGGGGTGGCACCCAGCAATCTGTGTTTTAACCAGCCCTTGCAGAGATACTAGTGAGCTCTAAAGTCTCAAAGTCATCAACCTAGAGAGTTGTTTTGGAAATAAGAGGTAGCTTAGGAAAATCTTAGCACGGTGCCTGGTGCGTAGTGAGAGCCCCCAAATCAGAGTACTCTAAAGATAGTGTGTTTGACATCTTGGTTGCCTGAATATGGTGGTAGATAGACTTGACAGCTGTTAGCTACTCTTCCAACTCTAAGACTGTTAACTTTTTAAAAAATTATGTCATTGAAGTATCGTTGATTTACAACGTGTTCATTTCTGCAGTATAGCACAATGATTGAATTATACATATAATGTGCCTTCTTTTTCATATTCTTTTCCATTGTGGTTTATCACAGGATATTGAATATAGTTCCCTGTGCTATACAGTAGGACCTTGATCACTATCCATTCCATATATAATAGCTTGCATCTGCCAGTCCTAAACTCCCAACCCCTCTCTCTCCCACCTCCCCCTCCTTGGCAACCACAAATCTGTTTTCTATGTAAGACTATTATTTGTAAGGCAGATGGACCTCAAGTGAACAATCTCAAAGGTGTATCAGGACAACCAGTCCATGTCACCATCCTTCCACTGTGAGATTTAGATTCTTCTTTTTCGAAAGACCTAAGTTGTGATGTTTTGGTGCTATCCAACAGCAATTCATTGAGTGGTCGGAACGATCATCTATCAGTGAGTGTTGAACAGCTGAAATGCAAGGAAAAGCTGTTTGTCTGTTGAGGAGAGACAGTTCCCCAATATTTAAAAAGGTCATTTTTATAAGGAAAAGGACATATAAATAATTTTTTTGAAAATGAAAGTTTTCTTTTTTTAATATAATTTCTTGCAAAAAGTATTTAAAAAGATTCTATGCCATTAACCCGTAGTGATGTTGGATTTCTAGTATCCTAAAGCCTGGATAGTACATAGCTCTCCAAATTGGATGTTTCTTATTACAATTTCTCCCAATCTGTCCTACACACACTTTAAGATTAGTCTTTAGTAAATCACATCCTTAGAAGTGTGTCCTTCTCAGAAATCCTTAATGGATCCTTACTGCATGCATGATAAAATTCAAACTCTTAGTTGCGGAACACACTTAAAAGCTTATTTTCATACTGCTCCAATTTTTATGACTTACTTCTCTTATTTACAGGCTTCCCTCATGGCTTAGGTGCTATGCAGGTCCACCTGCAATGCAGGAGACCCCGGTTCAATTCCTAGGTCTGGAAGATCCCATGGAGAAGGGATAGGCTACCCACTTCTCTGGTGACTTAGATGGTAAAAGAATCTGCCTATAATGCAGGAGACCTGGGTTTGATCCCTGGGTTAGGAAAATGCCCTGGAGGAGAGCATAGCCACCCACTCCAGTATTTTTCCCTGGAGAATCCCCATGGACAGAGGAGCTTGATGGGTTACAGTCCATGGGGTAACAAAGAGTTGGACACAACTGAGCAACTAAGTGCAGCACATCACAATGTTATTTACATCCCTATCTTTATGCTATATTATAATTTGCTCTTTATTTTCTGGGCCCTAATTTTTTCTAACCTTTATACTTTTACTTTCCTTTCGTTCTGCCTAGCATGAACTTATGCTGTACATCATAATGTTCATTGACAATTTATTTATTTTTATTTATTTGTATATATTTTTTGTGCCATGTGGCATGTGAGATCTTAGTTCTAGGACCAGGACTTGTACTTGCGCCGCCTGCATTGGAAGCGCAGGGTCTTAATCATTGGACTGCAGGGGAAGTCTCTCTTGTGTGTGCATGTGTGTGTGAGCACTCAGCCGTTCCCATGGATTATAGCCCATCAGACTCCTCTGTCCATGGGATTTTCCAGGTAAGAACACTGGAGTGGGTTGCTCCAGGGGATATTCCCAACCCAGGGATTGAAGCCATGTCTCCTTCATCTGCTGCATTGGCAGGTGGATTCTTTACCACTGAGCCATCTGGCCAGCATAGATTCCTTGTTCCTCAAACTGAACTTTTCTTAATCTTAAATTCCAGAAGAGTTTGCCTGTAGATTCTTAATAAATTGCATCTTGTATATCTTACCTATTTATACATTTTTTCCCTCCTCTAGTTGACTGAAAATATATTGAGAACAAACAACACATCTCATACACTTCAGTAATCCACCACCCCAAGCAACTTGCCTGCCCTGGCTGAATGTACCTGATAATTCTACTCTAGCGTTACATCACTTCTATGTGTTACATCTGGTCATCATTCTTCTGAGAGTTAAGACTACTGATTAAACTGAGGAGAAGTAAGATAGGGAATAATTGCTATGTAGGACAAAAAATTATATGTCAAAGCCAATTACAAAGCAGTCAGATACCAGCTAATACAAATCTTCCTCTAATTATGATGGGATTACATCCTGAAAAGCCTACTGTAAGTTGGAAATATTGTTAAGTGGAACATGCATTTAATGCACCTAACCTACCAAACATCATAGCTTAGCCTCACCTACCTTTAGTATGCCCAGAACACTTACATTTAGCAGATAATTGGACAAAATCATTTAACACAAAGCCTATTTTATAATAAAATGTTGAGTATGTTAGGTCATTTACTGGACACTGTACTGAAAGTGAAAAACACAATGGTTATGAGGGTACAGAATGGCTGTGAGTGTATTGATTGTTCACCCTGGCCATCACCTGCCTGACTGGGAGCTGTTTGCTGCCCTGCCTAGCATCCCAACAGTACTGTGCTGCATATGCCTAGCCTGAAATAGACCAAAATTCAAAGTACATTTCCTATTGAATGCCTGTTGCTTTTGCACCATGGCAAAGTCAAATACTTACAGGTGGAACCATCATAAGTTGTGGGCTGTCTGTGTTTTGTAAAAAGAGTTCTGTAAAATTGCACCCATGTTAACTTCATGTGTATTTCTTTTCTGTAGGTGATTTTCTTCCACCCCCACCTCCACCTCTCGATGATTCCAGTGCTATTCCATCAGGCTCTGGAAACTTCCCTCCTCCCCCTCCCCTTGATGATGGTGCTTTCAGGGGACAGGTAAGATCTGTGGTTGAAGTCATGTTTGTAAGTACTGCTAGGAATCGTGAATTCTGAGGTTGTTTCTGTGGCAAATAAATACTTATCCAGAGCCTACAGAGAGTTTGATATCTCACAAAGCACTAAGGTATGTTAATGCCAACTGCCCAGTTTGAGCTTCTCAGAGTTCTGCTGGCTTATACACTGAAGCCCTGGAAATCCTTTTACCTACTAATTTTATTTTGAAACTGAAAGCCATTCTTTAGGAATACCATCTGAGAATTTCACTTTTTCTTGTTATCCTGGGGACGCACAACCATGCTTTTTATTGCCTTTGTTCTGTATCCACTGACATTTGCTTTCTAAATGAGTAAGACTGGTATTTTAAAGTTCTGTTAGTCACTGTGGGTACTAATTGGTCAGCAGCATCTTTCTAGCAAAAGCAACAGCAACAATTCTTAGGGTTTTCTCTTCCGAATGAGGTCAGAAATGCATATAGTGTGAATTGACTGTTTGGAAATAATATGCTTCAGCACTGCATAGTGACCCAGGTTTGGAGTCAGAAGCAACAATGAAAGTTCTCAGCCTGTGATCACATAGGGCTACTGGTGACCAACTGCCACTGTTTAAGCAGTTAAATACCAGTTATCTCAGGAAGGAAAGCTAAATAATAATGTCATATAGTATTTATATCATAATTTTAGGGATGGTGGTGTTAGTACAGATATATAAAAGAAAAAATTCCTTATTTTTTAGAGAAATGTCAGCAAGATTGGTGAGTGATATGGAATAGTACCTGGCATTTGCTTTAAAATCAAAAGACTCTAAAAATATATGTATATGTATACTGTATTTGTATATGTATATGGCTATCCATATTCAGTACAGTACTGTTGGGATGCTAGATATATGTATATGTATACTGTATATGTATATATGTATGGCTAGCCATATTCAGTACAGCACTGTTGGGATGTTAGATATATGTATATGTATACTGTATATATATATGTGTATGGCTAGCCATATTCTGTACAGCACTGTTGGGATGTTAGATATATGTATATGTATACTGTATATGTATATGTGTACGGCTAGCCATATTCAGTACAGCACTGTTGGGATGTTAGATATATGTATATGTATACTGTCTATGTTTATGTGTATATCTAGCCATATTCAGTACAGCACTGTTCAGATGTTAGGTATAAGTATATGTATACTGTATATGTATATGTGTATGGCTAGCCATATTCAGTACAGTACTGTTGGGATGCTAGATATATGTATATGTATACTGTATATGTATATGTGTATGGCTAGCCATATTCAGTACAGCACTGTTGGGATGTTAGGTATATGTATATGTATATGTACATGTATATGGCTAGCCATATTCAGTACAGCACTGTTGGGATGTTAGATATATGTATATGTATACTGACACACTTCGCTATACAACTGAAACTAACGCGACAGTGCAGATAAACTGTACTCCAATAAAAAAAGACAAATCATTAGAGTAGGGAGCTACTGAGTTCGAATACAGGTGAGAAAATGTTAGTTCTGAATTGATAATTGTTGGATGTAAGATTTAATTCATTATTTGTTCTGTCTTTGTATATATTTAAGGTTTCTCACAATATATTGTAAAGAGGAAAAGCCATAGAAAGTAACTGCTTAACTAGTTCAGTTCATTATATGACTCTCTCCTAAATTTCATTCTGGAGGAGACAAAGGTAGATGTGATTCATTCATTCAACAAAAATTTCTGGATGCTGTGTGCATACCTTTATAACACTAGGGGTTCTATAGCACAAAAAGACAGACGGGGCTCTACCCTTATGAAATTTACGTGTTATTAAGAGCTATTCTTTGCATATTGTTTTACTTATACAGTTGAACACTTTAAGACTTTATTGAGTTTATATTCTGTCTTGAATAATTATGTAACTATTTTGTAAGCATTTAAAATCCTGAGTTCTGAAGTTTGCTTGACTTTGTAGAAGACTTGTATTTGATACTAGTTGGACAGCTTATTCTTGTCCCATGATCTTGAGTGGGTCACCCTAAGGCCCTTTTCCTCTTAATTAAAAATAAGATAACTGTATATCTGTCTCTAATAATTGAATGAAATACAGATGGATTAGAAAGTACTAAATTATAATGATTGTACAGATATTTTGATGTTATAATGGTCACCATATAAAAATAACAAAGACTGGAATAATAATAAGATTTGTCAAAGGGTTTCATTGAGAAAAATTTGAACATGGGGCTTTCATAAATTACAAAAGCCTTTTTCTATATGGATCTTGTCCTGCTAACTATATCCAAGCTGTGACTTTGTTTTTGAAAAAGAAAGAAATAAACAAAGAGCCTGTTGCCATGTTGGCTTATATTCTCTGTAAGACAGAAGGAAGAAGGATAAAAAATAAAACAGAGTTTGTCAAGTGGAAAAGGGCAGATCTGGTGAGAAAGGCGTGTTCTTGAATATATGGAAGATTGTCAGCAAGCTCAAAAGAAGGCAGGCATGTCTTTTCCTTGTGTGGTGGTGTGTGATGTGATAAGAGGCTTAGCCCCACTCTGGCCATATTTGCCCCAACTTCATACTTGAGCTACAGTGGAGCTTAGAGTAATGGAATCACCAGAGAAAATTTTGCACTTTTTTCTCTCGGCTGATGGTGAAAACTCCTGTTGTCAAGTTGAAATTATAGCTGGTAAATGTGTGTTTTTGTGTAGAAGTCTGTTTATGTTTCCAGCCAAATTTTCAGGTCAGAGCCAAAAGTACCTCTGCTAAGTGTGACTATAAGAATTATAAGATTTTCAGAGCTGAAAGGGACCTAAGAGATCATTGAGTCCAATCCTGGTGCCAGACATCTGGTTACAGCCTATTCAAGTACTTGCTGAATGAATTACTTTCCTCTCTTTGCAAACGGGGAAACTGAGATCCAAGAAGATGTGGTTTCTGTAGTTTCTGGCAGATCTCTTTTGAGAAACCTTGTCTCCTGATCTGCCCTTCCACTGATTGAGCTCATGATTTTGCTTTGGGCCTCTCAAGGATCTGAGGTTCAGAAGAACAGGTAACATGCCTTTGTTTGGAAAGACGAGGTGGTATTGGCATTTTTCTTCTCTCCAGATTTCTGATAGAAGGCTGTAATTTTTATTTTTAATTTTCCCTTTGCAAAAGGTGAATATTTAGTGTCAAGAATTCTTTTTTTAAGAGTTATCATGTTATGGGAAAAGATGAATCTTGAAAAGTCAGTAAGAAATTTTCTTTTTTATGTAAGAATCAGTTGGAGCTCAGTTGCCTGTAAGGCTTGGGTAACCATTTACAGTCACTTCCTTCATTTGTTTGGTTTTCATCCATTCATGATAAACTGAATACTTTCTATATGTCAGACATATACACAAGGGTGTAGGGCTTGGCATCATTGGTCTAATGCCCTGAGTCTCAACCTTGGGACTGTTAGCTTTGTTTGACTTGATGCCACAGTTGATAATTACTTCCTATTTTAGCCATCCAATGGGCAGGTGTAGAGTGTTGTTTAGAGTATTTTGAAAAAGAGAATATATGACAGAATTTCAGACTTGCAGGGGAATTAGAGATCATAACTTGAGTGCCTTTCTGTTGTTTGAATCTCCTAATTTTTTTTTTTTTCCAATGTAACAGAATGTTTATGGGTAGCTGTTATAGCTGAGGCAATTTTGATGGCTAAGGGATGGATGAGTTACAACCTCTGATTCCAACTAGGGAGATGCATATATACACAACTTCTAAATTAAGGTGTTTCGTGGTAAATTATTACTTAGTCATCATGCTTTGATCAGAAGCACAATCTAAGTCTTATGTTGTGGTACAGGGTGGGGGAAATAAATTTCACTATGACTAGAGACATGCAGGAAGGATTCTTGGAAACAATTTCAATTTAACGGAACTTTGATGGTTAATTAGCATCTTAATTTTCAGATGGTGGATTGGATTTTTAGGTAGTAAAGTAACAAGAATAAGAATTCAGAGTATTTTGAAGAATATTCTGAAATCATTGCAGGTGTTTGTTATTATTTTAAATATAAGGTTGATATCACCAGGTCTGTTGCTGGATGCCAAGTGGTGCTTTTAGTATACCATCAGACAAAACTTGTTGCCCTTGTGGGAAGCTCTGTGCAAATAGCTGAGTTGTCCGGTAGGCTTCCTTTAGCTCCTCAGGGACTTACCTGCTGATACCTGATGGCTTTGAGTTCAGGTGCCTGACATTTCTGGGGCTTGCCAGCTGGTATAGTTGGTAAAGAATCCACCTGCCAATGCAAGAGACACAGAGATGTGGACTGGATCCCTGGGTCTAGAATGTCCCTTAGAGGAGGAAATGGCAACCTACTGCAGTATTCTTGCCTGGAAAATTCCATGGACAGATGAGTGTGGCAGGCTATAGTCCATGGGGTTGCAAAGAATCGGACATGACTAAGCACACACGCATACCTGATATTTAAGTTCCTCTTTTTATGACATCTTTACTTGGCTTTTCTTCATGACAGCTGACACCTCCTCACCCTGTCTCTCTCTGTGACCTAGACCATGGCTTGCTTTTATGTGCCTGTTATCTGGGGTTTTTACCCTTCCAGTTCCCATCGCCATTTCCATTCATTCAGGCAAGATGGCTACCTTTGCTAGGGTAACTCCAGCCCCTCCGGCTCAGAAAACGGACTGTGTTGTCCACTGCTTGTTACTCCAGGTATTGAAAGTGTCTTCTGTTACGGAACTGAAATTTCTTCCTTTATGATTTCCTCACATCAATTTTCTTCCTACCCTCTCAGAAAATGAAACACATTCAAAGGAACTGTCAGATCAGGAGAGAAAGAAGTGGTGTCTGTCTAAAGAGGGTGATCCATAAAACTCCTGAAAGAGGTCGCTTTTCTGAGGAGAGAGTGAAAACATTGTCATGTGAGCTGTTCACTGAACTTGCGGGAAATGCCCAGAGTTTGTTGAAAAGAGAAGGAAGAAGAGAAACTTTTTTTAAAAA